TGGCCCCCGGTTGCAGCTCTGGCCCGCGGTCGCCCCATCCACCGCGGGGCTGCGGGGGAGAGGGGGCCGGTCGCTTCGGGGAGGAGGCCCCGGTGTTCCTCGTGCCTGCAGGAGGCTGTTCCTGTGCATCCTGCAGGGGGCGAGCGGCGCTCTTGTGGTCTTGGGGTGCTCTGGCCGGCGGGGGGGCTCTCAGGCTCGAGCCCGAGAGCCCCCCCCGCCCTGCTCGAAAAAAACAGATCCTTCCAGATCTGGAGGAATCTGTGTGTTCCTGCCTTGGGTCCGGCCGTGCCCCTCCTCGCCAGAGCCTCCTATAGGGGGTGCCCGGCCTCCGGGGGGCGCGCAGGGGCCGGGCCCCGGGCGCGCAGGCCGCCACTGCCGCACCGCACGCGGCGATCGGCAAGGCGCTGCGCGTCGCCGAGCCCGGCGCCCCGTGCCGCCGTGCCTCAGACGTCCGACGTCGTGGTGCTCTCTCGCGGCGTGGCTCCTCGGAGGTGTCGGCCTCGCCTCTTCCCTCGGGGCCAGGCTTCCCACCCCGAGCCCCGGCCTTCCGTCCCGAGCCCTCGTCGTTTGCCGGCCACGGGCCTTAAGGTAGGAGCCCCCGGAGGAGGAAGAGTCAAGACAACCTCCTGCCATGTGTGTTTCACGGCCGGCTCCCCCCTCCGCGGCCGCCGGCCTCACCCCCCCCCTCCTCTTGCATGCGGGTCAAGTCGCGCCGCCGTGCCCCGGTCTCGCCCAGACGCGCGTGCCCGGATGGCCTCCGCTGCGCTGCGGCGTGAGAAGTGCTTCACGGCGTGAGGATTCCGAGGCGGAGGTTTGTCAGCAGCTTGCGCCCGTGGGATCGACCTTCGGGGCCCTCAGCAGTCGGCAGATGTGGATATTTTTATATATGGATACATCGATACATCGATACATATATAGATACATGTGTATGTATACATATAGATACATAGATCGATAGATAGATAGATAGATAGATCGGCCCCCCCTAGGGACAACAGGTGTAGCACCCCGCAGTTGCGGATAAGAGTGCGTGGGCGGGCGCGGGTTGGGTCGCGAGTGGGTCGCGGGCGGGTCGAGGGCGGGTCGCGCCTGGGTCGCGCCTGGGTCGCGCCTGGGTCGCGCCTGGGTCGCGCCTGGGTCGCGGCTGGGTCGCGGCACAGTCGCGGGTGGGTCGCAGCTGGGTCACAGGCCGGGTCGCGGGTGGGTCGCTGGTGGGTCGCGGCTGGTTCGCGGCAGGGTCGCGGGTGGGTCGCGGCTGGGTCGCAGGCCGGGTCGCGGGCCGGGTCGCGAGAGGAACGACGGAGACGCAACGAAACAACAGTCCGCACCGCGGAACCCCACCTCAGCCAGGAACCCAGGGACAGTGAGTGACCGTTCGGCCCCCTCACTCTGATATCCATACCCGCGGCGGCCCAGGACGTCGGTCCCCCAGGCGGCGGGCACGGACAGATCCCAGCCTCGAAGACCGAGAAGTTGCCGAACGCCTTCCACTGTATGTAATGTTTTGTTTCCGGCGCGCCCAGGGGGGTGAATTGATTTGGGGCCATCCTTTCCAGGAGGCGGTGGGGCTTCTGACAAGCCCCCTGGCCCTCTGGGGAGCCCCCTCGTGGCTCCAAAGGGGGCTTACGGTCGGGAGCTTCTGGTCAGCGCGAGGTCCGGCCTACCACGCTTCTGCGCGACACGCCAATCTCAAGTCGGGCGTGTCCCCCTACAGGGGGATTTTCAACGAAAAATAAAAGATACCCAAACAGTATTCCAGCATGGTCAAACATTACTCAAACAATAGTCCCCCGACTATGTTTACACTTATGTTTGGGCATTCCCCCTGTAGAGGGACAGGCCCGACTTAACACTGATCACTTCACGGTCCCAAGCGCCAGCGTCCCGAGCCTTGCCCACCTCTCAGCCCCGCGGGGCGGAGCGGCACGCCATCAGCTCGCAGGGCACGGCGTCTCGCCGGGGCCGCCGCCGCGACGCTCTGCTCAAGAGCTTTCCCGACCGGAGAGAGCTCCTCAGAAGGCCGAAGGCCTTCCGAGCTCTCTGAGGCCCGAGCTTTCTGAGACGGTCCGCGCCGTCTGCCCTGGTCAGTATCCCCCTTGGGCGCGCCGCAGATGCTTCGGCAGCAGGACATGGGATTCTGGTGTGCCCTCGTGGTTCCGCTTTTTCGAGTGCACGAGCGTCGATTCAGCGTTTGGTGATCGGTGTCATTTCCCACTGTCGAGTGCACGAGCGTCGGTTCACTAGCGTTCAGAAATCGGTGAGATAGCCCCAATTTAGCGTCGACGATCGTCGATTTAGCGTCGATTAGCGTCGAGCATCTGATTAACATACACCTCCCGAGCAGCTGGGCCAGGGATTCCTGACCAGTTCGCTAGGGAGCTGGCCCAGTTTCTTGAGCACGTTCGCCCCTGAGGCGTTGACCAAGAAAGCTGGCCCAGGTTACCCTCAAGACACTTCTTGGAAGGTGGCCCGGATTTCATCGATCATGGCTTTCTTGATCATATGTTTGGCTGTATTGGACGCTGCCATGACTTGCCACCGGAAACCTCCGCGCCGCGAGGATGCCGGCCCCCCCGGAGGAGGAGGAGGCGGAGGAGGACGAGGAGGATGAGGAGGAGGATGAGGAGGAAGCGGATGATGATGATGATGAGGAGGAGGAGGAGGAGGAGGAGGAGGAGGAGAAGGGGAGGAGGAAGGGGCGGAGGAGGAGGAGGAGGAGGAGGAGGAGGAGGAGGAGAGGGGAGGAGGAGGGGGATTGGGAGTAGGAGGAGGGAGGAGGAGACACGCCAACTCGATGAATCCGAGCGCGCCGAAACAGGCCGAGGGGAAAGGCACACAGGAGGAGGAGTAGGGGAGGAGGAGGAGGAGGAGGAGCTGGAGGAGCAGGAGGAGGAGGAGGGGGAGAAGGAGGGAGGAGGAGGAGGAGGAGGAGGAGGAGGATGAGGAGGAGGAGGGAGGAGGAGGAGGAGGAGGAGGGAGGAGGAGGAGGAGGAGGAGGAGGGGGAGGAGGAGGAGGAAGAGAGGAGGAGAGGAGGAGGAGGAGGAGGAGGAGGAGGAGAGGAGGAGGAGGAGGAGGAGGAGGAGGAGGAGGAGGGAGGAGGAGGAGGAGGAGGAGGAGGAGGAGGAGGAGGAGGAGGAGGAGAGGAGGAGGAGGAGGAGGAGGAGGAGGAGGAGGAGGAGGAGGAGGGGAGGAGGAGGAGGAGGAGGGGGGAGGAGGGGGAGGAGGAGGGGGAGGAGGAAGAATAATAGTACTCATAGAAAGAATAATAATATATTAAGATGAAGAAGTTGGAGGAGAAGGAGGAGGAGGAGGAGGCGGAGGAGGAGGAGGAGGAGGAGGGAGAGGAGGAGGAGGAGTGGGAGGAGGAGGAGGAGGAGGAGGAGGAAGCAGGAGGAAGCAGGAGGAGGAGGAGGAGGAGGAGGAGGAGGAGGAGGAGGAGGAGGAGGAGGAGGAGCTGCTGGAGGAGGAGGAGGAGGAGGAGGAGGAGGAGGAGGAGGAGGAGGAGGAGGAGGAAGCAGGAGGAGCCTCCCCTCCCCGCACAGCGCGGCGAGGGCCCTGGGCTCCGCGAGCGCGGTGTCTCTGGCGACGGCCTGCGCGTCCCTGCTGGGCCGGCCCCTGGACAAGGCCAGGGGCCTTCGGCCGGGGGTGCGGGGGGCATCGGCGGGAGCAGGGCTGGGGTCGACTGCCCAGGCCCCCCTCGAGTCCTGAAAAACGCGCGACGGGAGGTTTTGTTCGTAGTTTGGGGCCTCTGGGGGCCCTTGCCGGACCTCGGGGCCGTCAAAAAGCGACTCATGATGAAAAACCGATCCCGGGGAATGGATCGAGACCTCCAGAGTAGACGTTATGAAAAAATCATGACGTCGAGGGTCTGCGTACACGTATGAGTGACCCTTCGCCGGAGTGGCCTTTGGTGCGGGCTCGTCAAGATCCCCCCGATCGCGGAGCGCGATGCGAGGGCGGCTGCTTGCGCGCTGAGATGTGGCCCCTTTGCGCCCCCTTGGGTCCGCGCGCCACAGGTCGCTCTTGCCCGGGGTCGCTCTTGCGCGTGGCCCCGATGGGGGCGAGGAGAGAGCGCGCGAGGGGGAGGGCCGGAGCGAAGAGTGTTGTGCTGTGACGAAAGGTCGCTAAATTTTGACGGGTCGGCAAAAGGTGCAGTTTTGCATCCGCCATGCGAGCACACGTCGCTGGTCGCCCCGTTCGGGGCGTGGAGTCTGGCACAGTGTTACGGGGAGGTGCTTCGCAAACGGGGCGCGGGGCAATCTGGGGCTTGGTACCTAGCTCAAGTCAAATTTTATGCAGCTAATCGGGATGGCGGTTCGAAAAACGGCAAGCCGAGTGGGACCTCCTCACAAAAGTTATTGTTTTGACAATTCGAACTCGGTTCGAAACAATAGGGTCCTGTTCGAAACAAAATCAAACGAGCGTTTCGCGTGGGACTTCCTCCAGAATCAGGCGTCAGACCTGGTTCGAAATGCAATGATGGCGGCTCGAAAATGGCAAACCGCGTGGGACATCCCCGCAAAACTTGCTTTATGGACGGTTCCAAAGCGGGCCGAAACGATAGAAATTGGTTCCAAACATTTGGGACATTAGCAGTTCGCTTCAGACTTCCATCAAAATATGATTGGAACTTGGATCCCCACAGAGGGATGGCGGTTCGAAAACGTCAAACCGCGTGGGATGTCCTCGTCAACATTGTTTTCTTGACGGTTCTAAAGCGGTTCCAAACAATAGAAGCTGGCCCCGCTTGAGACGTCCTTGAAAATACGCTTTGAACCTTGCCCCAAACAGGTCCCAAACAAAATCATCGCGCGGGACATCCCCTGCAAAATCAAAATGGCGTGTGCCCCGTTCCAGAACGACGGCCGCGACTACGACGACGACCACGACCACAACGCCACCCTTCCATGAGGGACATCCTGCTGTCACCCCCAAACACGGACATTTAGGAGCCAAGCTTCCCGTCAAGGTTATTTTCTGCTTGTGTCGCTCGTTCGGCCCCGGATCCTATTGGAAAGCCAATACGTTTCGAATCAGTTTTTTTTCGTCCGTTCCGTAGCCATTTTGGCTCAAGCGAGTTTGGCTTAAGAGAGCTTCGCAGGCTAGCTGCACACAGCATTCGCAAGCGTTGACAATTGGCGTCGCCAGTCTGACACGATGATGTCAATGTTGGCATCTTGGGCATGCCTCGCCCCTGCTGCTGCGAGTACGGTGACTGTCAAAACACCTCTGGGGAATGTACATGGAAGCTTTGACGCCAAGACGGGAGTGTCTTCGTTCAAGGGCATCCGTTATGCTCTAGCCCCGACAGGAGCTAATCGCTTCGCCAACCCCGAGCCATGGACGCAGACTTACGCAGCAGAAGGCTTGCAGGCCGATTCGTTTGGCTCTCGGTGCGTGTCTGCCGCCCAGGCCGGGTCTGAAGATTGTTTGTTCATGAACATTTACACGCCAGTTTCGCAACCATCGCTTGCAGATCCGATGCCTATTCTTTTCTTCATCCACGGCGGGGCGTTTATCCATGGAGCTGGCTCAGATCACGATGGAACCAACCTTGCCGCGAAGCATCATGCTGTGGTTGTCACGGTAAACTATCGCCTCGGATCTTTCGGGTGGGCATTACTCGCCGACGGCATGGGTAATTTTGGCTTGAAGGATCAGCGGGAAGGCCTGCGCTTTTTGCAGCGGTCTGGGTACATCTCGGCGTTTGGCGGCGACATTGCACGTTTAATGGTATTTGGGTCAAGTGCAGGTGCCATAGCAGTCGTAATGCACATGGTAGCCCCAAGAAGTTTTGGGATGTTCACTAGCGCGCTATTCGAGTCTGGATTTCCGCACGCCAGAACTAACAACATCTCGCTGGCTCAGGGCTCAGCTTTCTCGCGAGCGGCAGGTTGTGATCAGTCGGCAAACAGAATCACTTGTCTCATTTCCAAGACAACCGAGGAGCTGAAAGATGCGGAGTCAATCACCAGTCCGCCGAACTCCAATGTGTTTGCAACCCTCGGTTGGGGGCCGACCATTGACAATGACGAGTTTGCGGAAGATCCCAAGCTTCTGTTTGCACAAGGCAGACATGCAAACGTACCCGTTGTGGGGGGTAGCAACACCAATGAAGGAGATGCTTTTGTGTATCCGTCTTACCACAAAGGGATGGACAGCGACGCGTATAAGTTGTTCGTCCGCGCGTTCCTCAGCAATGGGCGCGTTTTCAACGAGACGTTGTACGATATGGCGTTGCAGTTTTACCCCCCAGGCGCAGACAACAGAGCGACGGCAAGCAGGCTGGTCGCAGACGGGACCTTTGTTTGTGGGGCCAAGCTTGTTGTGCAACATTCAAGCCAGTCTTTCCTGTACCATTTTGCTTATCATGGTTCCCGACCCGCCGTATACCACGGCGCTGAGATACCGTTTGTGTTTGACAGCGTTTCCTCGAAGTTTGGTCGAAGGAGTTTGGCAGAGACAATGGGCGAGTTGTGGGTATCGTTCGCCAAAACGGGTCGGCCAGGATCCGGGAATGTATGGCCACGATATTCAACTGCAACGGACCGCAATATCGTGTTTGACATCGCTGGGTCCAGGCCTAGCTTGACCGTCGAGACTGGTCGGAGATTGAAGTTTTGCAATATGTGGTTGCAAGCGGGCGTCGGCGCGTGATACCGCATTCCGCTTCTGCACCGCCCCGTTCAGCCTGCAAGCTTGAATCGATCCGAGGTGTTTGTGTGAGCAGGTTCTCTGGATGAAGCAATTGCTGCAGATAAGTCGTGTGCGCCCTGTTTTGTATGTGGCGTTGCCCCTGTCACCTCGAGCCATGTTGACACCAGCTGAAACACAGCGGAGCACCTACCTTGGCGAATAAAACAAAAAGTTGTTTTTCGTCCGTTATTTTGCCACTGCGTTTTTTTCTTGGTTTGACCCCCGCTGCGAGGCCCATTCCAGCAGTCAAAACACTGCCTTCGAGCAGTGAACGCGCGTGTGGTCGCAACAGTCACGATTCCCATCGCAAATCCAATACAGATTCGTCCATTTTACCCGCGCTGCAACTTTTGGGACACATTGGAGGAGGCGGGGGTGAAGGATGAGGCAGGAGCTTGCATCGATGAACTTTCGGATATTGTTGTGCCCTGCGTACCTGAGCTGCTTGTCAGCAGTGGTGTTCACTGGCAATGAGGCGTTTACAGGTGGCTGGGTGCTCAGTCACAGTTGTGTTCAAGCATTGCTGGACTCAGGTAGTGTTGATCCGGCTCCGAGGCCCAATCCAGCGGTCAAAACGCTGCCTTCTAGCAGTCAATGTGCCTGTGGTCGCAGCAGTCTCGACTCCAATCGCAAATCCATTGTAATTTCATCCAGTTTGTCCTCGGTGCAACTTTCGGAACACGTTGGAGTGAGGCGGGGTGGAAGGATGAGGGAGGAGCGTGCATCGATCACCTTTCAGGGTTTATCGATATTGCTGTGCTCTGCGTGCCTGTTGTTCACTGGCAATGTGGCGCTCACAGCAGGCGGCAGCGTGCTGACAATCGCAGTGGTACTCAAGCGGTGCTGGACTCAGGTGGCATTTGTCCGGCGCAGGCCGAATCCAAGAGGTAAATAACGACTCGCTTGGACAAAAATGCGCGTGTGGTCGCATCAGGCTCGATTCCAATCGCAAGTCCAATGCAAATTCGTCCAGTTTGCCCTCGCTGCAACTTTTGGGACCAGTTGGAGGGAGGAAGGGTAAAAGGGTGAGGCAGGAGCTTGGCGATGTGGTTGCCACAGGCACCTGGGAGCTCACAGTCACTTGGGGACTCAGGCGCTGCGGGGCCGAAGTTCTATTTTGGTGCAACCAGCTCCACATCACAACGACACCGATGGAAACACCCAGTCATGCCGTACGGCATTTGGATGCATCGTAGCCGTCATTATGGCTATGCCGAAACAGGGCCAAAGTTTAATCACGCCCATGTATGGGATACGGTGTGGATTGACGCTGAACGCAGGGTCCAGCCCCCAAGCATCCGAGCTCGGCTTCCGACTCGTATTCGTCAGCGCTGGCGTTCTGGCCTCGCTCCAGAGGTCCTGGTTGAGGTCGCGGTCATGCTCGAGTTCCGCCTCCCACAGGGAGAGGAGGAGGAGGCGGAGGAGGAGAGGAGGAGGAGGAGGAGGCTGCGGAGAAGGATGAGGATTAGGAGGAGATGGAGGAGCAGACAACGACAAAAGGTGGCGGGAGGAGAAGGAGGAGGAGGAGGCATAGAGGAGGCATAGAGGAGGGGGAATAGGGAGGATGCGGAGGAGCAGCTGCAGGAAGGAGGAACATGAGGAAGAAGGAGGAGATGGGAAAGGAGGAGGGGGAGGAGGAGGAGGAGGAGGAGAATAAATGGGGCGAGAATGGACATCGCCGATGAGCTGCAAGGCAGGGATAGCGCGCGCTGGAGCGACGGGCGGTGGGTCGGTACCGTCTTCTCGATCGTCAGCTCGCCGCCCGGCCGCCCAGCGCTTGGCTAGGCTGGGGGGACGATAAATGTGTGTGTGTGTGTGTGTGTGTGTGTGTGTGTGTGTGTGTGTGTGTGTGTGTGTGTGTGTGTGTGTGTGTGTGTGTGTGTGTGTGTGTGTGTGGGTGGGTGGGTGGGTGGGTGGGTGTGGTGGGTGGGTGGGTGGGTGGTGGGTGGGTGGGTGGGTGGGTGGGTGGGTGGGTGGGTGGGTGGGTGGGTGGGTGGGTGGGTGGGTGGGTGGGGTGGGTGGGTGGGTGGGTGGGTGGGTGGTGGTGGGGGGGGGGCAGCGAGGGTTGCCGAAAAGGGGCCCAGAACGGGAGGCCTCGAGGGCCCGGAAAGGGCACCTTCCTTCCCCTCCCATCTATCTAGGCTTCCCAGATGGGGTCCGAGCAGATGGGGTCGGAGGATCGCGCCGCATCGCCGATGCATCGGCGATGCGGCTCGATGTGGAGCCCAATGTTCTCCACTCCGACGGCGCCGATGCATCACCGGCGTCGCCGATGCTTCGCAGATGTATCGCCGAAGCATTGGCCATGCATCGGCGGTGCGGCGCAATCCTCCGACCCCATCAGACTGGGCCCCCTCTGGGAGGCCTCTACTTCATCGCCCCCTCTTTGAGTCGCGCCCGGCAGGCGGAGCAGTGCTCGGACTGGCGCAGGCGCCCGCTGACGCCCCAGCAGCTGCACTACGCCGCCCTGGACGCGGCGGCGAGCCCGGGGCCGGCAGAAAGCCGACCGCGGGGAGGGGGCAGCCGTCGCCTCGAAGGAGGCGGGTCCTTCGAGCAGTGGCGAAGCGCCTTGGCTCGCCTATAGGCCCACCAAAGGATGTTCTGAGAACTTTCTGTGCTGAGCACAAAATGTTATTGGAACATTCTTGGCTGAGACTGTATTGCTTCTCGGTTTTCTGTCCTGAGAATCTTGTGCTTGAACTTAGAACATGTGTGGGTTCTGAGCACAGTCCGTGGCAGGCTCCTATGGATGCCGGGACGGTCGGTCCCTGGTCGAACCCTGAGGGAGGCGGGCCCCGAGGGCTTTCGCCGTCTTCGGGCCCGCGGGGCTCTCCACGGACCCTGGGACTACGCCTCGGCATGACTCTGGCAAGATCGTCTGGGGGGACCGCCCTGGGACCCAGGGCCCCTTCCCCCCTCGGGACCCGCTTCCCCCCTGCCGAGTCGGAGGCGGAGGCAGCCCGCAATTTTGGCTCAGCGCGTCGCTCCGACGGGTCTGGCCCTCCACGCTGCGGCACGGCACGCTGCCCGCGCCCCAGTTCCCGAGCCCTTCCGAGCCTCCCGCCCCGCGGAGCGGAGCGGCACGTCATCAGCTCTCAGGGCACAGCATGCCGCCGGGGCCGCCGCCGCCACACGCTGCCCCGCAGGTTTTGACCGTAGAGCCCCCACCCTGCCTTGGGATGGAACTCCTGGGAGGTCAAACTCTGACTTTGCCCTAGCCCGACATCCTGGTCAATCCGGCGCAATTCCGCCCAATCCGGCTTCATTCCGTTTTCTCCGGCGCAATCCCGCTTTATCCGCGGCCTGATCCGGAGCAGCAGCCCCCTAACGGGGCGTAATCCTCCTAAGGCATTCCGACGAAGACCTCGCAGCAGTTGCCTCCTAACCCTGCCACGTCGAGGAACGAAGTTGCAATCCGAAGCGGCTCCAGGCGCCCTCCATTTCGCTCTGAGACAGCCCAGGAGGCTTCTAACGCGACCCAGAAACAGCCTCAGATGGCCTCAAGAGGGCCCCCGAAGCCGCCAACCAGCCTCCCCGAGTGCCAAACACGATCCAGGGATGCCCCCCCTCGCCACAGCAGCGATTCCAGACGCCCAAAGAGCCTCCAGGCACCACATTTGCTTCCAAAACGCCCCAACAAGCCGCCGACAGCATGCCCAAGGAGCCCCGACAGCCGAATTCCATGCATTTTACACCGGTTCCTGAAAGCCCTTTGACGGGTCCCAAACGGCCTGGAGCTCGCTCTCCCCAGGCGGAAAAGACCACAACGGCCTTGAAGACGACCCACGAAGCCGCCATCGAGCCCCCCAGACTTGCCCAAAACGGTCCAAAGAACCTCCCCCTCACCCGCCGTGAAGCCCTCGAGACCTGTCCGAAATGGTCCAGAGAGGCTCCCCCTCACCCGAATGACGACCCAAGACGCATTGGACAGCCTCCAAAAAACTTAGGGTGCTTCCAGCCCAAAGAAGCTCCCTGCGAGCGCCTCAAGGCGGCCGGAGAGGGCCCCGATACAACCCAGAGGACCCCGCGACTGCCCACGAGCGTCCCGTGAGGCTCTCAAGACAGCTCCCACGGGGCCCCCAAACACCCCCATGAAAACCCACTCAGGCCCAAAACCCCGCATGACGGCCCAGAACGGTTCCATGACGAAACGGATTTCGACCATGGATGACGATGCCGATAATGAGTATGCTTGTGCTCCGAATGATGATGGCGATGATGACGACGATGCTGATGATGATTATGATGATGATGATGATGATGATGATGATGATGATGATGATGATGATGATGATGGTGGTGGTGGTGGTGGTGATGGTGATGGTGATGGTGACGATGATGATGATGATGATGATGATGATGATCATCATCATCATCATCATGATCATGATCATGATGATGATGCTCTCCAGTCCCCCCATTTCACGTGCTCCAGGAACGTCTCTCTGGAGCGCGTGAACTTGCGATGGCGATGGCGATGACGATGACGAGAAGGATGATGAGGGTTGTGATGATGACGGCGATAATGAATATGCTAACAGATCGCGATCCTCGTTATTTTGATTAAGCACATGCGAACCACGCCTTTCTTGTCAGAGCACGTGCAATCACGATGCTGATGGCGATGACGATGATGATGATTATGTTCATGATGGTGGTGACGATGCTGATGATGATGATGATGATGATGATGATGATTATTATTATTATGTGGACTGTGGATGTCCGCCAGACCCAATTCTTACGTGCTCTGTGAACATGTTTCCGGAGCACGTAGGCTTACCATGACGATGGCGATGACGACGACCATGACGAGAATGATGCTAAGGATGGTCAGGACGACGGCGGTCATGAAGGTGATGCGCACGACAATGGCTACAAGTTGATGACGTCTTCGGCGATGCTGAGATGCACAACAGGGCCCTGATGATGACGATGAGGATGACGATGCTGATGAAGCTTCGCGCCTCGGTCTGTGCATGTTGTTCTTATCCTGCGTGCCGGCGGGTCTGCCCGCCGTGTCCGGTCCGACGTGAGTGCCCGCGTCCGCGGCGTTATAGTCTTCTCGCCTCCTCTTGCTGCTTCCTTCCTCTTCCTTCCCTCCTGCTTCGCTCGCGTGGGTCCTCAGTGCGAGTGCCTCGGACATAGTCCGACACGTCTGCGCAA